AGTCTTTCCTGACACCTCATACCTCAGGGCACAAATGACATCTCATAATGAGGGATGTCTTCAGAACTCATGGAGAGAAGTATAGCCTTTGTCCAGTCCTAACAGCTTAGTCCTCATAAAAGAGCACATAGTGGACGTCTTATAAAGTTAGGCACGTGGCCAACACTCTAGTCAGCCATCTGGTCTCCTCTACACACCTGAGGTGTTCCTAATATCAGGGGTAAAGGGGGAAGGATGCCTTGGATTAAATGGCTTCCTATAGCCCTGGTAGCATAGTGGTTACGATTTGGGTTGTGAGCCACAATGTCAGCAGTTCAAAACTACCAGCTGTTGCACGGGAGAAAGATGAGGCTTTCTGCTCCCGTAAAGATTTAACAGACCCGGAAGCCCTGTACAGGGTCACTATGAGTTGGAACCCACTCCACAGCTCATAACAACAGCAACATAGCCCTTTAAAAATAGAAACAGCCCCTGTCTGGAAAAGACATCGGCCTAGGCCCATATGATATGCTTTATGGGTTACCCTACTTCAGCTTCACTATTGACTTTCCTGCTTTTGAGACAAAGGATCAATTTCTCAAAAACTATACTTGCCTTGTCCTCCACTTTCATTTTTGTTAGGAAAACGTGTCTTCTGGTGCAGACACCGTCCTAGAGTTCCCGGTACATCCTCATCACCCTGGTGGTGGTGGTGGTTGTTATGTGCCGTGGAGTCGGTTCCGACTCATAGCGACCCTATACAGGGTTTCTGAGGCTGTAAATCTTTACGGGAGCAGAAAGCCTTATCTTTCTCACGGTACAGCTGGTAGTTTTGAATTGCTGACCTTGCGGTTCGTAGCCCAAGTCTTAACCACTACGCTACCAGAGCTCCTTATCACTCTGGTGATTATGTATTAATCAAGAATTGGAAATTCCACCCCTGTGGGTGGAACTAATATCACACACACAAAAAAACATAACAAAACAACAACAAAATAAAAACCAGAGAAGGGCCATAGAAGACAACACCCTATCCGCATAGAAGGGAGGAAAGAGTCTGCAGCCAGTATGGTAGTTTTTCCAATATAATTCTTAAGATAAATGTACAGATAGAGCATTCGACTTTCCAATGCAAAATTCTGAATTTACACATGCAAGAGGAAACTTCAATGTGTATCAGGCACTGACAAGCTGTTTTGTCCTGTTTTAATATAGCTGATATTCTTTCTGCGGTAAAATCATAAATTAATCCATTTAAAATGTTTTCAGGATTTGTTTGGCTGGTGTGATAGCAATTTTTTCAAATTTTACATTTCTCAAGACTTGTGTATGTTTTATTTTTGCATTGTTTCCGATCCTCTGAGAACATAATACTGTTTTAAAAGATATTTGGTGTATCGTATTATTCTTTCTGAATTGAAAACTTTTTTATTATTTTTTTTAATCTGGGCCATCGTGTATGTATAAATTTCGTCTTGTTAAGAGAAGGAATAGGATATTGTGCTGTAGATAGTTATTTAAAGAGCTCTTGGTCTAGATACATCCCTTATATTTCACTGTGTATTACTTCCGACTGGGAGACCTGGCGCTGATCAAGACCTGGAATGCAGACAGATTCCTGCAGGACTGGAAGGGCCCTTCTCAGATGTGGTTGACCATCGAGACAGCCATCCAGATCCCAGACCATAGAGAAGGCATGGACTAACTATACTCAATAAAGGGACTGGTGAAAGGGTCTCTCCTAAGAGAAAAGTAGTTACCAGTGGGAAGCACATTCCTCGCCTAGGTAACCTTTCAAAGTAACCCTGAAAAGAATCTGAGCAGTTCTCCTGCCATACCTCTGCTAGATTATCACGTTTTTCCTTGGTCCCTCTTACTCTCAGGGCTCTAAAGAAAGAATTCCTCTCACTGAGTTGCTGCTTCTCAGAATACCTGGTAGAATTGAGGAGCATAGATTAAGTCAAAGCGAGAATATACTTCAACAAAGACTCATAAATTCTACCAGGGTCACTATAAAAGGAACAGCAGAGCAATTAGGACCCACTAGAAAAATGGCCTAGGAAAACAGGGTAGCCCTACCAATTATATTATCAGATAAAGGAGCAGTATGTGTTATAATGAACTGACTCCACAGCACTTAACAACAACAATATGTTATAATCCAGTCCAGTGTTGTACTTTCATTCCCAATAACACAGCTCCTGATGTTACCATTACCAAAGCATTATAGAAGTTGACCACCTTTGTTGACAAACTTCCTGAAAATTCAGGCGTAGATGACCCCTTTTTTAGTTTCATGGAACAATGGGTCGGAAAATGGAAGGGGCCTATGATTTCAGTCCTCTCCGTTCTATTTATTACATTTCATGTATTAACACTAAAGCGATGTTATATTATACCCTGTATAAGAGCATTAGTAGTAAATCATGATAGAAACAGCCTTATCCAATAATCCCCCACCTCCATACCAAAATGAACTTTTTTTACTTAGAAACATATGAACAGCAAAGTCAATGTCTCCTTGCCGAGTTCTAGAAAAGAATGAAAAAGTCTAACAAGAAGAAAAATGGGGATTTCTGAGAAGGAATGCCTTTTCTTCAAAATTATTGTAATCCTGTTTATTGTAGTCGGGTGACCTTTTTTTGACTTTTTGCTAATTCCCGACGTACGTAGTGACTGTATGACCTTTCCTTTCCTTTTTACTAGGTCCTGAAATGAGTAAGGAGAATGTGTGCCTTAGAAATTTGAATTAGCCAGCCTAGGAAGGAAAAAGAAATGTGCAGTGGAAACTCTAGCCAATGGGGTGAGACACAGCCTTGAGACTTGCTTTAGGGATAAAAACCGAGTGGACCCTTGTGCTCTCTGGCCTGTTCCTGTACAGCTACGTGCATTCAGCCTTCTGCAGAAGTAAATTTTGCCCCGCCGAGGTACTTTAGCCTTACCAAGTGTCTTCTTGTGAGACATTGGGGTTCATTTCTAACATAGGGATAGATGGGAGACATACAAGACAAACCATGACACAAAAGGCAGTGAAATGGAAGCGAACATAACAAGACAATTCTACAGAATGCCTACATTTATTAGTAAGCTGAATAATTGTCTAGAGAATTTGGCAATTTGTTTTAAGGGAATAAACATCAAAATTCCAACTTGATCTGCTTCCCAAAGATGGTAGACCTCTTTAGGGACTGATTACCTTCATTGTAGGCTATATACAGAATTAAATCCATACAGAACAGCCCAGATTGAAAACCCAGGAGAAGGAACTGGATCTCAGAGCACTGGGGAAAGCTCTGGGTCAGGGCACATTCACCATTTCCGTTTCTCACATCCGCACCTTCGAGTTTCTCCCGCCGAATATCAGGAAGCGGAAGTGGCGTCACTGCCAGGCGCCACATTCACCTGCGCGCGTTTTGACGTAGTAGCTTTCCTGAGAGTGCTGCCTGTTTCAGTCCCTCGGTGCCTGGAGCACAGTAGGTCCCGACCGGGAGCGAAGCTGGCTATTCCGGCTCTTCTGCGAAGGACCACACTCTTCGTCGTCCCTGGGCTACTCCCGAACCGGGGCATCTCCTGGAGCCGCGCTGTGGAAAAGCCTTTAGTCACTCCTCAACCCTCAGTGCACATGAAAAATCTCACAGTGGAGAGACACCTTATGAATGTAAGGAATGTGGGAAAGCCTTCACTCATGCTGCAGCCCTGTCTTCTCATACAAAAATTCACAGTGGGGAGAGGCCGTATGAGTGTAAGGAATGTGGGAAAGCCTTTATTACATCCTATAACCTCACTCAGCATATAAGAACTCACAGTGGAGAGAAGCCTTATGAATGTAAGGAATGTGGGAAAACTTTTGCTCGGTCTGACACCCTTACTAAACATATCCGATCTCACACTGGAGAGAAACCTTATGAATGTAAAGAGTGTGAGAAAGCCTTTAGTTGTTCCTCAAAGCTCACAGAACATACAAGATGTCACAGTGGAGTAAAGCCATATGGATGTGAGAAATGTGGAAAAGCCTTTCATCTTCAGACACAGCTCACTCAACATAAAAGAACACACAGTGGAGACAGGCCTTATCAGTGTAGGGACTGTGGAAAAGTCTATTGCCACTCCTCAACCCTCATACATAAACGATCTCACAGTGGAGAGAGGCCTTATGAATGTGATGACTGTGGAAAAACCTTCAAATACTCCTCAGGCCTCAATGTACATAAAAAAATACACAGTGGCGAGAAGCCTTATGAATGTGATGAATGTGGAAAAGTCTATCGCCACTCCTCAACCCTCGTTATACATAAACGATCTCACAGTGGAGAGAGGCCTTATGAATGTCAGCAATGTGGGAAAGCCTTTATTCAATACTCAGACCTCGGTGCACATATGAGATCTCACCGTGGAGAGAAGCCTTATGAATGTAAGGACTGCGGGAAAACCTTTAGTCACTCCTCGTCCCTCAATGCACATATGAGATCTCACTTTGGAGAAAGGGCTTATGAATGTAAGGAATGTGGAAAAGCGTTTACTCAATCTAGAAGCCTCAAAAAGTTCATCAAAGATACCACAGTGGAGACAGGCCTTATGAGTGTATGGAGTGTGGAAAGACCTTTATTCAGTCCTCACACCTGACTGTACATAGAAATACCGTAGAAAGAAGCCTTATAAATGTAATTAATGTGGGAAAACCTTAATTTCCTGGTGTGGGTCAGAAATCATCCACACAGCAGCTATAGAATCTGTTCATCAACAGAAAAGACAAATAACCCCATTTTTCAACATGGTTGCCTTGCTTCTCAGTACACTATCCCTTTGTTAACATGCTTTCATAATCCCTGCTTAAAAAATATTTTAGGCTGAGCTGCAAGCCACCAATTCAGTGCTGTCTTCACTTCATCATAGGTGAGACTATTCATCCTCTAAGCACTGCATTCAGGGGACCTCACAGGTCAAAGTCCGATGGTGCCAGATTGGGACAATGGGGGGGATGCGCTAACACCTCAAAACAAGGGTTTTACGCAGTGTCAACAGTGAAGGCACAGGTGTGGGGACATGAATTGTCATGCAAGATCACAGTACCCTTGGATAGCAGTCCTCTGCGGAAATCTGTAGTTTAGACTTCAGCTCTTCAGTGAGCATCCCATTGTAATGAACACAGTTGATTGATTAACCTTTTCCCTGACAGTATTCCAGTAGTGGCCCTGAGAGTCCCAGAACACTAGATGTCAATTTTCCAGCAGACGGTTGACTGAAACTTTGTCTTGTTTCAAGTATCTGTCCAGATTTTGTTTTCAGATGTGCACATTCACAACTGCACAGTACTAACCTTGAGAAAAAAGCATTGATAAGACAGTGCATCCAGCAGAAGTTTTTATATAGCCAGAGTGCGAATTATTTTTGACTCACATTTCATAAAGATTTCACAGTAGAGACAGCCGTTAATGCAAGAAATATGGTAAACTCTTTTGTCCGGCGACAACCCTCATTGCAGTGGAAAGGAACACTGCATTATGGATGTAAGGGATATGGGAAAGTCTTTTCTGGACTCCTCACCCCTCAGGGCTCAAATGACATCTCATAATGGAGAGAGACATTATTAATTCAAGGACTGTAGTAACGTAGTGGTTA